TTCAAACCGTTTTATTAAATCACACAAAGAATATAAACACCAGATGAAAACTGTCTATAATAATAATAGGAGGTTGTGTATAATCTTGAAAAATTAAAAATTCCTTACAAGTATGCAATAAGCTCGCGAAACGTGAAATGCATTTAATATATCCATCCCCCATTATTAAACCCCTTTTGAAAAGGGAAGCGCGAATTTGAATTTCTTTTCATAATTAAGTAGCGCAGATCAGTGTGGAATACAAACATCATTCGGAAACCTTTCATTGCATTGCATTCATCTCTTTAAATCAAATCCATCTTGTCTTTTACGGACTCTCATGCTCGCTCTCATGTCATATTGTGTTTATGTTTATTACACTGCAATAAGTCTGTCCGCTACTAGTTTTTATAACAGTCATTTCGCTACATCATATGTTCCCTATATGATACCATTCCTTGGTCTTTTAATATCTTCTGCACTTTTAAAAACAGGAAAACCGAAACTACTGGCCATCCGTTTATTTCCACTTCAACCGTCCTCGTCGTTCTCCTTATGTGCTTAGGGTTGTTGATTGCTTTATATTCGAGTCCTTTTATTGCTAATTGAACATAGGACCTGATCCGCATTTTTATCTCGGATGAATTATGGGAAATGGCACTCGTGACCATTTTCATTCACGTTTTTGAAATAAGCACATGCTAAAAATCATTGGATTCTTCGTCATTTTAGGGGAATGTGTTGCACCATTGAATAAAAACACTATAAGAAGCCTAACCCCGTGGAAATAAAGCGCGACAGAGATTGAACTGAGAATATAATGGAAACACTGTCAATAGTGTCGATTCTTGAAGATTGAGAAGAATGAGAATTTGCTTTCCTCCTATTTACCGCAAAGAGAGTTCGGTGATCACAACCAATGCGGGTGCAAGGGGATTTGTCGCGCTTTCTTCCATAAGCGTTAGGCTTCTTATAGTGTTTTTATTCAATGGTTGCACTGTTACTACACTGAAGTCACTGGTGCTACGACTTACAAGAACTATACAGCGGCCTGCCACAAAAGACACCGAAATACCAGTTGGCTAATTGGCAAAAAGCACTATCTATAGGACAGCGACAAACGTGATGCGAGGAAGATCCGCAACCGATCATAAGACCGATTTTATTGATAGAGTAACAAGCAGGCTAAGAAGCGAGTACGGTTGGTTCCTGGGCTGCAAAAATTTAGACCGTTTCGAGTGTATATGGTGTGAAGGAGAAGTATTGTGTAAAGTTGTGTATGGAGATTTAAGAATATTAATGTAAGTATTAGCATTGACTAATACTTAATACTTAATAGTATTAGTCAATGGTATTAGTTATGTTGGTGACATGTACCTATACTGTTAATGTAATTAAGTAAAAACTGTACAGTTGTAAATAAATAAATAATAATAATAATAATTATAACACACACACACACCCTCACACACCCTCTCACACATCAGACAAGTTTGCATTCAATTCAATTAGAAAATGCATTATACCTACGTTGTAATTACATCCCCTTGCCCCTCAATAATATTTCGTTTCACATGCACAAATTACCTAATTATTTTTAAAGTAGGTTCGTTTTTAAGCGTTATTGGCGGGTGAAATTGTGAACATGATATTATTATAACAAAATAATATCTATTGTTTTTCAACTAGCATCAGTATAGTGTGTGTGTTAGGTTTGATATATACAAGATTATGTTACATAGGTTAAAGAGTGAGATTTTGGTGATCTATTAACTATTTATAGTACGTTTCTGTTATAACCTTTGAAAAATATATTGATTAATTTGTTATGTACACATTATCTGAAGTTTAACAACACGTTCCTATTATGATCAAGTTCAAGTCGAAGAAAAATGATAACCCCTACACAACATTAAACAAATGATTAGATTAAAAGACCAGGCACATAAACTTGAAACTGAAACGTATCCAACGTTTACTGTAACTTACGTAACTATGTGAAGGCCGCGTTTACTAGGGAAAGAAAAGCATAATGTGCATCAGTTCGTGGAGAACTCAAATAAAGATACCTAATGCAAAGAAATTGTGGAACCATTTCCAACAGCTGAGGGTTTGTCCTAAGAAGAATTCCAAATCTGATATACCAACATCACTTCAAAACCCACACGCCATGAATGAGTACTTTTTTAGGGTGACTGTCGACTCCACTCTCGATTTAAATTTTTTAGAGTTTTTTAAGAGTACAGTCAATTTGGAAAATGTTTCTTTTACATTTGGTGCAATTACTGCGCAGGATACATAATATATTGGTACTTGAAAAATATTTCTTCTAAAGCTTATGGACCTGATAACATTAACATAAAAACTCTGAATTTAATTTAGACGTCAAAACTAGCAAATCGTTTTCATGGAAATAATACTACAAATAATAATTTCTTCATCAAATTCTTCCTCTGAATCATAAAATTCGTTTATTTTGCTTTGTATCCCAGATCGGCGAAGGCTTTTAGAAAATCTTCGCTTTGCTGAATCAATTTCCAGCAATGCATAGCGCACGTGCATGATATTTTTAATTCTATTTTTGCGGATTAACGATCGTTGTCCCAAAAAATCGAGGGCTGACCATTTTGTTTATGTTTGATATAACATTTAATATACCATTAAATAAATGTAGAAGTGCAGTAAATGAATCGCTCAGTATTTATTTCTTGTATATACGTTGCGGACGACTGACCAGCTCTACCCCTCCATCATGCTGACTGAAAATCATAACTTTCATTTATACAGGGTGGGCCATTAGTGCTTAAGTGAAAGATTATGAGTTTATTAACGCACACATTTAAAATTTATTTTCGGAATTGTTGAAATCGAAATCGATAAACACTGTGACTCATTAGAGATTGTTGAATTACAAGAAAATATGTCGAAATGTAAATACCGGCATGCATGCATCGTTAGAAAGATATCAAATCCTACATTTGATGCAATAAAAAAAACTAGGTAGTTCTATTTTTTTAAAAAATCAAGCTACCTTTGATTGAAATTTTGAAAATTGACGCAATAATATACAGGGGGTTCTATTTAAGAAATGCTGATGCTCTGATGCAAACCACCCTATATAACAATTGCAATTTCGTTGAAAATATTTTTAGGTTGTAGTCCTTCAACATGCTAGATGTCACGTGTCGCAACGGAAAGTTAAGAGAAAGAATTTTTATGGAGGCGTCGACACATCTTTTATGAATTTTCCAAGTACTTGAATCGGAAGAGCAAAATGAGATCGGCAAGAAGGTGCGACAAATGCGTTAGATTTCGAAAGGCCATACAGTACCCCAGTGTACGGGAATGAAACAAACAGGGCAAACTTGGTACTTTACATTTGATGCGGCCTTAAAATTGTTTGGTGCTGCTCCCACTAGAGCCTATCCTGGTCTATACCACATTGGTATCGCGATCTGACGCGGCGTTAATTGTCATTTACGTCGATGATCTATCATTACATCTAGAGATCAACGATATGTCTATGATCTGACATCTTTTGTGAACAACAGATGAAAGATCTTGGAGACATCCGATATTATTTAGGTATTCTGCCAGAAATAGAAATGGGATTGTAATTAGTCAAATGGGATACGTAAATAGAAGCTTTGAATCGTCTTGGGATGACTGATTCCGAACATGAATCCACAGATTTAAATATACTAATCTGTGATGAATCTATTCGTGTATTCCAAAGAATGTTTCGTCAAAATTAAAGAAAGTGGACAATCTAGTCTGTGGTTCGACTTGTCGATTCGCCCATTCAAGATTGATACCCAAATGAAATACAAAGTGTTTAGTATCACTATGTTTGTAATTTTTTTCTCTGTCGAGTGACGTAAAAATCAAATAGAATCATTTACAATTAAATAAATCAGATTACGCATTAACTGGATTACCTATCTCAATTACCTTTAAGAATTTAGCACATGTCTGTAGGAAATGAACAAATCTATAACTTATTAACGTGTGCACCATTCCTCATTAAACACCCTGTATAAATTACTTAGGTTGCGCTGTTCGAAAAACTTAATAATAAAATATAATAAAAAATAAATAAATAATACACTTATGTTCAGTTAGACACACGATGACTAAAGTTAATAAATGAGTAAAGGTCTCTTCTGATTGCTAAAGTAAAGCAAGTTTCATGTTTAAGTTTTCGCTAATCAAAAATGAAAATGCAACAAAATTATAAAATATATAAGTACAATAAACGGCAAAAGTGTAAAATTATGAGAAGCGAAAAAATAAATTTTTTACGTTGACTGTCTTTTTAAGAGACACAACAACAAAATTCTTTCTTGGACACCATAGCAAACCAAAAAATAGCTTTTAAAATAAATATAATAAATATAATAAACAGCCGTAGGGATGGACAGCGGACGGATGGATCCGCGGACGGGCACACAAAGTGCACTAAGATCTTGGCTCTGCATAGGCGCAATCCAGTTCCTGTACGTTTTCAATTTTCTTTTACAAGAAGCATGCGCATGCGTAATCTACTTTTTTTTATATATGCTCAATTTAGTTTTATAAGTATCACATTTGTTAAAATTTTCGAAAATCCGTCTACAAATGAAAAAGTTGACTGCGCAACCGCGAACCCTTCCTTGACGTGTGATTTAAATTCGTTTTGTAAGAAGCATCTTCAGTTAAAATTTCAGAAAACAGTGGTACACAAGTAAGAAAGGTAGATCTACGCGTAAGTAATCAAGTTTTTTACATGTGCATTCATTTTCCATTTGTCGAATGCCTCTTTTATGCACCTGCACTGTTTCCATATATCCGAACTATCTTTTACTAAGCCATCGAAAATTAGATCCAAAAAACTTGTAAGATAAATCCACATCGAACTACGCAATTGTGACTTACGAATAATATCTGGATACGCTTTCCCAATTTCTCCTTTTATTTTATTTTTTATCTTTAAAATATTTCTTTGTTTTTAAAACATCCAAAACCACAAGAGAAACACTATGTCGGTTGTAAATTATAATTTATATTTAGAATACAATACTTTAGAATAAATTTCGTTTGTATGTATTCAAAATTTCAAGTGAGACCACATTCGCCTCGTCGGCATCCGGCAAAGCCGCCTGTTTCTGAACGTTACGTCCTTGACATGGGTACCTCTTGTGAACATTTCTAAAAAGTATCCATCTTGTGGTGCGTCCCCATTATTTAATCTGCACTGAATATGTTGGTTCAGGTTTTGTTTGTAGTAAGTCTTACAGATCCTTGTAACTCGAAAAATTCTTTTTGTACTCATTGAATGGAAAGATAATGTTTCCAAGCATCCTCGATGCACGGGAAAACGACTTTCCCGCATCGCGGTGTTTTTTAGTTTCCGCTGGAGAGAAGGGGTTATGCGCGTTCTTCGGTTGGTAGTACTTATTGAAGTCAACGAACGTCATGTCATGGTTAACTGTCATCTGCTGTAAAATCAATTAAACCGTTGGTTGAGGGTATTTAGTGCGATTAATCGGAAACAGACGTACACTAAGTTTTACGTAAATATATAAACAAGAACTTATAACGCAATCAAATTATTTTTCAGAATTGGAACTCAAGAAAAAGTAAAATTTATTGTTAAAACGTCTTAAAATGTGACCAGTGATATTCTGCAACTATTCGCATATGCAGTTTAAGAAAGCACATATTAACACACACAAAGCTTCCAAGGATTTTAAATGTAACGAGTGTATTTACGCAACTCAAGATATTCAGTGCAAACGATGCAATGCCGTGACCAGTAGTAGCACTCATTGCAAAGGCAAAATATGTATTAACCAAAGATGTGGAAGTTTTAAATGTGACCAGTGCATTATTAAAAGTGACCTTTTTTTACGTAATTCGTTACAAAAAATATTGTACCTAACTCTTTCGGAAAGAATTTTCCCGCATTCGCACTAAATGCAGCACTCCCTACGGTCGTGCTGCAAACAAAGTGCTCATGCGGGAAAATTAACTTACCGAACTTGTTAGGTAAATAACTATTTCCTGACGATGATACTGATTAATTCAACATTCTTATGACTGTTTAGAAGTGCCACGCCCACCCATTTTACCAAGTTACAGATTGAAACTCTCTTTAACATCGATGTGTTCTTTAACTATTAAATTAAGAATCCTGGTTATTCCTGGATGCGCAATCTTTGTATGTTCTTGGCACTCCTTAATTACTTTCTGTGTATAGCTTCGGTATCTTTCTAAAATGTCTAGTTCCCTCATAAGTTGGTATATTTTCTCATGGCATTCTGGTTCAGTTCTCCCATAATTTTGCAGTAGCACGTTTTTTTGCTCTTCGCTACCATGCTCCATTATGGTTGCTGTAATCCATGTGCATACCCCCGCCGTAAAATCGGTGGAAGTTTTTCCACTATTATCGAAGTAGCCGCAAGCATCCCACATATCGTTCTGTAAAAACTGTGAAATTTTGACCGAAACCCAAGAATCCCTCACCTGAGCTTGCCGGTGAATACCAACAGTCCGAAACACATCTCGGGAAACGGAACATATCTGCGGATCGAGATTTGCCAGATACGCTGCTGCCACTATCGGTATGTAGTATGCCGGTGAACTAGTCTTATACCACACTGTCGTGAAGTAGTGATCCATTGAAAGTAAACTAGCATCCCGGCTTTTTTTAAACATTGAAGCGGAAACATAGTCAAATGACTGTCCTAAGTAAATATCATACTGAAAATTGACTAGAAGTGTGCTTAGTTGGTGGTAAAAAGGATGACACCTCAGATACTTTCGTAGTAGAGCGAACCCAGCCATTGAGACTGTTCGTGCGTCGCACAAGCCTGTCAAACCCACATGCGGTAAAGTATGCCAGCAGGGTTTCTTCCAACGCATTGTATTCTTGTCCAGTATGTCGTCCGTCAAAAACGATGTCGTTGTGAGCTAAAACAATACTGATTCACCCAAAAAACAGAATTTCAAAATTCGTACATATTCGAAAGCCCAACCTAACATAACTGCCATTTTTATATTAGATGGTGTTAGGTTCTTGGGCGACTCAAATCCTTTGTACGTGTGTAATAACTTGACGCATATAATGAGTTCTCTTTCCGGTGCAGTATGATAACAAATATCATCAAAACGCTTAATTACGTCGTGAAGTTCTGTATCAGTTCGGACTATCGCATCTCTAACCGAGAAACCGTAATGCGACAACAGCAGTTTTAGACCATCTAAAAATTTGAACCCCTGTACCAAAGTTAGCCGTGATAGAAATTACCCTTTTCAAGCAATTCGCGGGGATTTTCCGAAAGGTCGATCATTGGTTCCAATTTTCCAGCTGATGCAAGCGTTGCTCCAGTTTGAGAACTACAATTTCTAATATGTTTTTGAAATGCACTAATACATGTTGATTTTATAATTGCACGTAAGCACTTCATTCTCTATTTGTCTAACACAAAATGGTAAAATTTTTCAACTAGAATCAGTATAGCGTGTAACATATTACAGTATTATGTCACAGATTAAAGTGTGAGATTTTGATAACCTTTTAGCTACTCATACTACGTTTTTGTTACAAGCTTAAAAAGAAGGTTGATGTGTTATGTAGTTTTTATTATTTTCCGCTAATATTGTTGGCGAATTATATTTATTTGTTATACACTATGTCCAAGGTAAGGATTGGGATTTCCGAAACCATAGCAGGTGTGACGATGGTCAAATTAGGGAAAAGTTGACCAATTAAACAGTTATTATCGTGCTTTAAAGAAAACCAGAAAATTCCGATTACTCCCGAAGATATACCTCCAAAACCACAATTTGCCGATTTTTTTATTATGCTATTTGAAGAGATACAAAAAAATAGAAAACACTTTCTCATTGCCACTTTCTAAGCTCTACAAGACACCGTTGAAAGATTTTCAATGCAACGTTTCGTGTCGGAGAAATCATCATTAACTTTATATTTTTACATGGACAGTAAAAAAAGTACATACTGTATTGAATTTTTTATAACGAATATGTGTCACACACAAGAAAAACAAAACTTGAAAACTGTTGGTTTCATCCGATAGGTATTCTAGCACGATTAGAGCGTTGTTTGTTTGTCTTGTGGGTGACACATATCGTTGAATTCGTAATAAAAAATCCTGTTCCATACAGTAATTATGTACGTTTTCTACAGCCCATATAAAAAAATAAAGTTGATGATGGTTCTTGATTCTTGATCCTTCCCAGATCCTTGATTCTGGCAGTTTTCTCCCACTTAGTCAAATGTGTATCTCGTCTTACCGTTTCTATAGTGTCCTCTTTATCTTTAGCACAGAGTCTTGTGCACCAGATTTAGAAAAGTGATTTTTCCACTTTTTCTATAACTGTCACTAAAGCTAGTGAACTTCAAGTATTATAGCTAGACTTCCTTCTGTTAGTTGCATGGCACTTATTTGACACGAAGAGGAGTTTTTTCAATTCAGTAATTGTTTGCAACGTACCTATACCCCAACAATCTCTGAAAGACGTGAATCTCCGGACTTTAGGGTTTTGACCAGAAGTTGACCATTTTTGTGAGGTCCCTACCTAAAGTGTCAGGTATGCATGTATATAAGATCATTTGCTTTGAATGAGCTCTAGTTACAAATGCATAAAATCGGAATTCGGGGGCGTTATGCATTTTTTTCAATGTAGAGAATATGTGTGCGCAGGAGATTCGCTAAAGTATGTCCTTTACGTTGGGTGAGGTCTTTGTACAAACAGTTCGTAAGTGGGGCCGCAGAATATGTAAAACCAGCCTTGCCGACGTAAGCGATGGTTTCTGCGTTTGCTGACACCGGCAGTTGAAGACCGAGGAGGGATTGAACCTCCTGAAGTGACCACTACACTCCCGAAACAAAGAAAGCAGTGTACTAGGCTATACCTACTCGTATACTACTACCTCGAAAATGACAAAGCAATCAAGGGAGAGAACTTTAGGCCCGTTTGCAGGCACCAATCGCGGAGAAACGCCTGAATTAGGGACTCGACATACACCCGTGGATTCGTCCCGTCTTGTGTTCCAGGAATTGGTTGATTTGCGGGAACGACAGGTTTGAAGAAACCCTACCTTAGTGGATTTCGGGGGATTTCATGGAAAGTTAAAATATATTTTGACTGTGTATCGTTGTCATTTATTTCAATACAGACAAGTACCCAATAAATGTTTGTCCCATACTTTCCCATACCAAATCGCCACCACTATAAGCACTGGCTTAATTTCATATGGGAGATTTATCGGATTTATGTTTAAAACTAATAAAACTTCGCTATTGACTACTGTTAAATTCATTTGTGTTAATTCTACACACAAAGCCGACACCATTGTGCATATTCGAATATTTGACGTTTAAATCAATAAAGAGGGGTATAGATTAGCTCTATAGTTTAGGTAAATCTGTACAATAATGAAAGAAAAATTAAAAATTAATTATGCATAAATTATTAAATGGCACGCGGGTGCTAGCTTATAGTATGTTTACATTCTCTTTTATTGCTTATTTCTTTAAGTATTTTGTAATATCCATTTTTAAGGCTAAGCAGTTACAAAAACATTCCCTATGGGAAGAATTAATTTCAGTTATTACGACTTGTTGCGAATCATAAGTTACGTCAATAAAAGAAAGTGCATGGCTGTATAAACTAATGTCAGAAAGTATATGATTTTGCGTGCCTTCATCGAAATAACACTAGAAAAACAACGGTTAATTATAAGATAATACGAGAATTACAAAATAACATATTTTAATAAAATAACACCTCGCGTATGATTATGTTCCACGGTGCTGGACCCTGCTGTAAAATGTGGCAAAATAAATCATATAATAACCCCAAAGCAAATAAAATTATGCTTTTATACGATTGTGATCTTTATTACGGAGTTTACGTAATTTAATAGTACATTATATATCAAGGTAGAGAAGTCCACTATTATTGCCTGAGCACCAAGATTACATCTCGAGGCGCTTGCGCCGAGGGGTGTAAGGTGCGAAGGCAATAATAGACTTCTCTACCGTGGTATATATACTATTTTTTTCACTACTAGCACTTGAAATCCTCTAAATTAACATATTATATTGATAAGAGAGTTAACGGTTGGACAGAATTGTTTGTTTCTTAATTTAACATGTCAATCAAGTACGTGGAAGTACAAGTCAAACAGGCCGTATTTTGTTCTGTCATTGAGATTTTTCAAAGAGTAATTTCGTTCGAATTTTTTCAAAATGTGATAATTTTAGGTATGTAATTTCTCTGGAAATTGCGAATGGTGGCAATTATTCGTTTTAGAGAACTTGTCTAAACGTTCATTGAGCGAAATTTCGGGTTGTGTTTTCTAAAAGTGACAGCGTGACAGTTCTCATTATTGACTACTAGTTAATAATAAAAAATTATTAACCACTTTGAACAAATGCCGAGAAAGCCTACTTTACAAGTGGAAAAAAGGTTAATAATCATGTCATCAGACGCTAGTAGTGAAAAATAGTACATTATATATCAAGGTAGAGAAGTACAGTATTATTGCCTGAGCACCAAGATTACATCTCGAGGCGCTTGCGCCGAGGGGTGTAAGGTGCGAAGGCAATAATAGACTTCTCTACCGTGGTATATATACTATTTTTTTCACTACTAGCACTTGAAATCCTCTAAATTAACATATTATATTGATAAGAAAATGAACGGTTGGACAGAATTTTTTGTTTATTAATTTAACATGTCAATCAAGTACGTAGAAGTACAAGTCAAACAGGCCGTATTTTGTTCTGTCATTGAGATATTTTCAAAGAGTAATTTCGTTCGAATTTTTTCAAAATGTGATAATTTTAGGTATGTAATTTCTCTGGAAATGGCGGATGGTGGCAATTATTCATTTTAGAGAACTTGTCTAAACGTTTATTGAGCGAAATTTCGGGTTGTGTTTTCTAAAAGTGACAGCGTGACAGTTCTCATTATTGACTACTAGTTAATAATGTCCACATTATTAACCACTTTGAACAAATGCCGAGAAAGCCTACTTTACAAGTGGAAAAAAGGTTAATAATCATGTCATCAGACGCTAGTAGTGAAAAAAACTTATTATACGTTGAGAGTGTTTAAACACTGAAACACACGTAAAATTGCAATATATCAACTAGGAACTGGATTTGAATGTGACAGAAAGTACGCTAGTGTCTTGATTTTCGGGGTTGGTAAAATGCATGGTTCTCACTCTACGGTTTTCAATTATTTAGTTCTTACGGACTAAAGTAATCGTACAATAAAATAATTTGAAAAAACCCTGTAATATGCTGCTGTGTGCACTGGCCCGTAGTCCAGAAAAACCGTACACAAAACACCAAAACAAAAACCTACCTAAAACGCTTTCCCTTTGTCAAGGCACAAAACTTCTCCCCAGCGCAGAGGAGAGATTCGACTGGGCTCTCAGTTAAGATAATGGGTCAGACCAAATACCTTAAACTCCAAACTGAACTTCAAAATGTTGAATAATTAAAATTGACCTTGGGCAAGCATCCAATAAAGCAACAGGTAAATAAGAAAAGACGTCGTTGTGAATGAAACACGCGGAAATTAATGTGAAAATTACAAAAGTGCGATTTAATCTTAACACACAAAAGGAAAATGGTACAATAACACAAACAATTATTACAAATAGACTAAAATTATGACTTAACTACTTACATTATTTGTCCCGGAATTGTAATCCAAATAAAAGGTATCCGTACACAATACACGAAAAGTATCATTTTTAAAGAACACACTTTACACTAACGACCTCGAGTAATTGCGGCATCTTCTCTTCTAGTAGACAAGGACGTTCCAATAAAAAAAACTTTAAACTGAGTCACGTTGAAAACACACTTATGGGAGCGCCGACAAGCACCTCCCCTTGCAGCACTTTAGATGGTCAAAACTTCAAACTTCGAAACGAAGAACAATAATTAGCAGTGCATTCGGCTTCCGGTTTTACACACAAGATTTCTTCAAACTGCAATCTCACATTGGACGAATCTGTCAATACTGGCCGTGGCTTCAAAACAAATAATTCACGCCACGATGGAACTCGCAAGAAGCGAAATAAATTCTTAAACGAAATGTAACTCGTTGCTGCACGTAGCAAAAATCTGATTTCAAAACTTCAACAAACGTAATACTGCGTAAACTCAGGCAAAAAGCGATTTAAAACTTCAACGGAACGTAGTTCCGCGCTGAACGTGGCTAAAAGCGACGCTTTTCTTCTTGAAGTCCTATTTAAGGCGAAAGCCCTTCTTCCGAAAATCAACACAACACAACATCTCTAATCTCTAATAGGTCAGTGGTCGCTACGCAAAGAGCTTTTCGCCCAAACTTCAATAGTCCTCGTACGTGTTCCAGAGCATATTTTAAATAACTTCCACTAGGAGGCACTGAACCCAGTATTAGTGTGCCATACTGGGGGCTCCACTCCAGTGTAAAATTTTTGGGCCCCAGTTGCCGCACTAGGACACCTCTCGGACAGACCACCAACCGGAAATTTTTCATCAGTTTTATAGAATATTGTAATGACTTTTTATATTCTAAGTGTCAAACTTAGTGGTTGTTTATGGTGAACTTTTAGAGTCTTCCAGTGAAATTTCCACTGGTATTTTTCCAGACTACTGGGCGACAAAAAGTATTTACTAGGCGGCATGCTTCAAATATACTCTGACGTGTTCTTTTCCTGATGTGAAAACAATTCGTGCCTGGATTAGAAATGTGGAAGAAATAGGTAGCACACGACCACAAAAAAGAAGCCTAAGACAAAAAACGGTAAGAACACCCGAAAATGTTGAGGTAGTGACGAGACGAGCAACACGGGTATTCTTACCATTATCTGTCTTAAGATACAGATAAGAGATAGGTATGAGTGTTTGTACCAGTTGTTTTTGTTGTTGATTTGTAGTAATAAAACATTTATTTATAATTTAAATTACCTTCTTTCTGCAAGATAATTAATCCAACAGTAAAAAACTATACAATTTCACAAATATTTCAGGCCATTTCCCATGAACGCTGTTGCTTCATAACCGCTATCGACTTTATAGTGATAGTGTATAGTACGAAAGTGTGACACGTGTATTTTTTTCTGACGTATCCAGGTCTGTGTTTAAAAAATAAAATTCATGATGACCCCAAAAAACCGAAACATCAGACTAAAAATCTAATTATGCCCGCTTGTAGGAAAGCGAAAATTGCAACTTTGCCTCCATTTAACCGACTTCGAATTTCTTACGGCTTTTGATATTCCCATTGTCACGCTCTTATTTTGGACACCCTGTATACACAAGTTTTTTACATTTTTTCTTTGTGGAAAGTAAAAACCTTTCCTGGTGTATTTAGTTAGCAATTTAACGCAGTTTGGATATATATATACCATGAATAAAACTGGTGCAAACTTTGGTCACTCCTAAGGTGTTTTAAAGTGATAGCGATTAGAAAGTTGACCAGATATTCAACGCCCACCAAACAAACGTCCAGTTCGCTTATTAGAAACATCTTCTCTGTTTCAGTTTCCACCTCCTCTACTTGAATTTGCGTCTTCGAAATTAAATACCTGTTTTTTTTATCGGCGAAATCTGCAACGATAAGAAATTTCTTATCGCAACGACCGGATTTAAATGAGATATCTTTAACAAAACATTACAATTAAATATTTCAAAATGCTCCTTATCTTTTTAAGTGAACAACGAGTGGGTTTTGAAACATATTTTTTAAATAGCCGTGATTTAGTAATAAGCAAATTCGGTTTCATTATGGAAAACAAGCTAAAAATAGGGCTTTTTGCAAAAATCTTCATCATTGTCAATCAAATTTGATACTTTGATCTCCTTGTTATTCTAAAATTGGGTTAAATGAATTGTATCACATTTGTCGCTGGAAAGTAGTGTCGTGTTTTATGCTATAGCGGAAATTGGCTAATATGAATTGCTAATAGGTTCGTTCCACGTGCACCCCAAATTCTAAACGATGTTTACTATTTTATGTTATGCGATTGAATTCCTTTTATTTTTAGAAGACGAATTGGTATACGAAACGAAAGTGAATTAAACGTACAGTAGCTACTATGGGGTCATAAATATAACGCCGATGATATTTATCAACTGCATTGTACGTTAACGATTATACTCGTAATTGCAATATCTGTATAACTGTCAACTAAATTTCTAAGCATACTTCACCAAGTACTTTCCTCGGAGAAATAATGCTCCCTACCTAATGCAGTCCATAATCCAAGCATAAGGGGTAGAAATGGAAATATCCCTCGAACGTTAGAACCCTAAAGCATTTATGATCCGTAATTATGCTTTCTAAAGGTTACATATGCATTATGTACTGTACTCCCTACTAAAATTATCTGCTGCGCATTGTGCGTAGCTAATATTAAGCGGCACTGTTGCTCGCACATTTATGTTTTATGTCAAATCCACTTCAAATAATGTATTTACAAATTGACTTAAAATTGTGTGTAGGATTTGTTTTCAACTATTCCATAGATATTTTGTAATGGAAATAATTGCTTCTGCGTCTCGGTCAAATCCTTTGTATCGTTTATTAAATATTGCAATAAAAGGGATTAGACGCATCAGCTTCTTTATGTGTATTTTAATCCTTTCAAATTTATGCTAGTACGCAACAACAATTTCCATAAAGTAACAGTTTATTGCCGTAAGGGAACAAGGGTTAACTCGCCATTGAACTTTAGGTATGTTAAAGTGGGACCTGATGACTTAAAAACGTAAATTGTTGCATACTTTCAGCAGTTACCATCTGGGGGAATTCACATATCCTCGTGCGTTCCTAAAGATAAAGCGGTATGTTTCTATGGACCGAGGCAAAATAAGGGGAGAATGCCTTTTATAGACTACCCGTATTATTAGCTTCCATACTAAACCGAATACATACGACTCCCAAAACGGTAATCAATGGTCGGAGGTCGAGTGAGCGTTTCACATATTTTTCACGCAAAAAAAGTTCAGTTACCCCATGGAGGAATCGCCTGATTTTATTACTAACACCCAGGCATACGTAAAACGCTTGTGATTTATATATTATTTTGTTTTTCAGGTGAAAGGAATGCACCAAAAATGAATGAAATAATGGAGAGGCTTGTTATCCTACTAACACTCCTGCTCAGCAGATTTTCCCATTCTTATGCTGAAGATTGCGTCACGTAAGTTAACATTTTCTTTCCCTGCATTAATTAAAACATTTATTATTGGATCTGCGATTAAACAATCCTTCGACAGTGCAACTCGTCATTTAATCTGAGTTTATTAACATTCTTAGGCAACATGTTTTCATTATTAACATAATGCTATACAACGAGAGACTGAGTCTGTATGAGAATGAGAAATATTATCCTTTGCTAATTCTGCATTTCCTTACAAAATATGCTCATAACTCCTAACTTGCTATTATTCTAATGCATAGGAATAACGAAAGTTATTAACATGCATAGATTGTAATGAAACACCCCAATGATGTGAAAGGATGTCCAAAGAGCAAGCAAGCATTCGCGAACCTGATCACCAGCCATGGAACAGAATGGACATCACTGTAGTTCAGATAACTCTTCAAATCGGCATGTTAATTTCCCGTAAATTTGGTATCATCTGCAGTGTCACCATTAAGCATGAAAATAAACCAACTCTTCCATGCAACACTGAAATGTGATTTCAAAATTGGTCTTGTGTTCCGGAATTACTTGCTCATAAACGATCAAATACAAAATTACCCTAATCGGGCTTAATATTATAGATATATTAAGGAAAAAATAAATAAGTCCAATTTACATTTCTCTTTTATCGGTTTGTATGAAAAAGGCTCGGCAGCAATCGATGACATCTCGATAAAATGGACTTGTGAATTCATAATTGAACCATTAGTTCATATTATAAATTTAAGTTTCAATTAAGGCTGCTTTCCTAGCGCTCTAAAACATGCAACAGTAACACCAGTACTCAAAAAAGGCGATCCGCGAAACTGTGAGAACTATCGCCCGATTTCAGTGCTCAGCATCTTTTCCAAAATAATAGAAAAATGTGTGGTCGCTAGACTTCTAGGTTTTCTGACAAAACATAACTTGCTAGTTAATAACCAGCATGGATTTCCGTTCTATTCAATACGTTTTCGAAAAATTGGACAAAAATGATTATGTTTCCGGAATATTCTTTGATCTCTCACGTGCCATTGATACACTGCAACTACCGTTTGTAAGCGAAAAGCTAGAATTGATAGATAAAAGGTGTTACGGCTAGAGTAGTTCAAGTCGTACCTTACGGATCGAAGTTTACCAGTCAAAATTGGAAATACTTATTCGGAGAGACGCTCTTTAAAACTTAGCGTTCCACAGGGCTCCGTTCTAGGAGCTTTGACTTTATTTGTTAGCGCACTACCAAATTTTAGAAATAAAGCAAACTTGATAATATATGCTGACGCAGTTTCTTCACACAGCAAGGAGAACCTTCAAAAATTATCAATCATCGGAGTTAGGGAAGTCTTCCAACAATGGTGCAACTCAAATAGAGGGAATTTTCACTCACAAACAATTACACACCTGGATTTTCAAAAGTGTTTTTCTACTGCGCCGACGATAATACGAGTTCCATCTCCTTTTTAGTTTCAAAGGCAATAAACCACGACGTTGAACTGTTTAACAATAGCTCTGTGCCAATGAACATATGCTGGCGCGTTTAATTAGTTTGCTCTTAACCGTGAATACTGTTGTTTTTATCGTTTTTATGCGACGGAAACACGATTTCACAACGGTAATGTTTTTTACTCTTTACGGTTTTCTTTGAACAGTCACTCTTCTGTAACTCTCTTAATAACTTTTTATCGCAAACACGAATACTGGTCGCAAACGGAAGACCAAATACAATTCACATTTTCTTAGACACCATACGGTACTCTTGACTATTTTCAAAACGAGAATTAATTAACAAAAAATACAATACCAATTTTTTTATTGACCAACACACTGGTCGCCTCGGTTACTGAATCTGAACTTTTTGGAGATAGACAACGCGGAGACCATATCCGTGTAATTGATTGAAATACAATATCAGTTTAATGAAATGATTTAATCTGTAACAAATTTCTTTACAATAATTATAGGGAACAGTTATAATATACCTGACAAATATCGAAAAGTTGGTTTTTTCAACAAGATGGAGTCCGAAGTTTTGAATAAGAAAAATGAATAACGATACGAATACAGTTTTCAACTTAACAGCTCTCTAACATAGATTGATTTTTTTACTCCTACGATTCTGATGGTTTGATTTAAAGTTTACATGACAAAACGCGAATTCATCCCAAATTTCTCGGAATGACCCCCCCCTCCTTCATTTCTCCCTGAACTTACCACCTACAAAATGGTCATTTGTTAACGAAAACGGACATATTTAATCTTTAAGTTGTCGCCCGCCCTACGAATCAAACAAAAACTAGGGTGATAAATCAAATTCCAGTTATTTTCTGAAGTATGCCATATTTGCAGTTTATTTCATTCAAAATATCTTGGCCAAGTTTTATTTTATTTTGCAATAAAATTGTGTAGAATTTCCTAAAGCTAGCATTACACTTGTCAATTTATTCATGAATTAATTCACGAATTTATTGTCGTCAATTTCTTCACGACAGGGTTTGGTTTTTACATCTGTGAATAAATTGGTGAAGTTTTTGACAAATCTGTCATTGGAGCAGTGGTGCCATCCCAATCAAAAAAATAACATAAACATATAGTCATAACCTCACTCTCTCTGATATAAACAAAAATTTGTTGGTTGGTAGCACTGAACTTCACGGTAAAATTGGCGAAAAATAGAACATGTTGTAATTTCGTGAAGAAATTCACGAAGTTCTTCGTGAATTTATTGGACGTCAAAGTTGGTGTATTACATTATACAATTTCTTCATGAAGTAACTTCAAATTGACAAGTGTAATGCTAGCTTAAGAAAATGGAAAATGGAAAAGAGGAATGTGATTAGATTACGAGCATGGTAAATTTTTAAATCGAAATATTCAAAACTTTGCGGTAATGTGGTATTTAATTTGATAAGCAAATTACTCAATTAGGTAACTATAGAAATTTTCTCCGAAATGCTTCTGCTTTTTAATAAAAACAAAACAAAATCTTCCTTAACAGGTGTACAAAATTATATTTCCAAATTCAACTTTTGTAAATGTTTTTGTCCATTCTGTACGGTCCCACAAAAGAGTTTTTAGTTGAACAGTATCAGTCGTTTTCTTACAAACCTCCTCCCTTGTCGTTTTTGTCTATGGATAATCGAAGATTATCATGCATGTAAACGGATCCACAAGCTTTTGACCTATTTCATCTTTCGCATTTTTGGAATTGCATGGCTAACTTTTGGTATATTGAAGATTGGACCTTAAACGGACAGTTTTGCAGTATTGTGTTCAAAATTAAGTTTAACTTTTCTGATGTGCACCATCCATATTGACAAAGGGCGCATTTTTTTTTTAAATGCGGATGTCGATGCTGAAACTGTCAACGCCTGCGATATCGATAACGACGTTTTTATGACCTCAGGACGACGATATGGACCTAGAAATCCTGTGACTCAAGCAAAACAGCGCGCCCTATATAGACGTTCTGGATGCAGGTTAACCCCAGGTTCATAATTGCTTATTTCTCTAATGAATGTTTTATTAACAAAAAGCACTCCTATGCCGCGCCATATTCCGAAACGTCACTACCGATTATTCGTTTAAAACCGCTCCCTTTACCGTCGCTTTGGGGGGGAGGTACAGCAATCATTCCATTTACAAATACAACATTTACTGTTTAGTATTGCTTGCCCAAGCAAGTTAAGTATTTAAACTCCTTGCGTTGGCAATTAATAATTATAAAGGTCTCCGTTAATAATTCCTCATATTTATTTCTAATTAGGTCAGAGAGGTATTTCGTTGGAAACTCGAATGAAAATTGGAAAACGTTCAAAGGACAGGGGTCTTATTACAATACGTAAGTAATTATAAATCCAACTCTCTTTTTAGAAAGTCATATTACAAAAATACGATTTATCTACCTTTCTCAACTTTCCCGTCCTTTATAAAAATAAAAATATCATCAATTCTCCTTTATTTTTCCATGCCGTCTATTTACACAAATGCAGTAATAGAAAGAGCGGGAGTTAGTTCTCCGGGGTACTTGTTAACGGAAGATCGAGCTGATGCCGTTGAGTGTTACATAAAACATGAAGGTATCGTTAAAGGACGCCGCAAAATAAAACGCTCTGCCGTCTTCATAATTTAGTTAAGCTGGACTTCCTTGGAACGAAACTCCCAACTTCCGTCGAACTTCAATTAAAGAGTTCCTTTTATTTTCATGCATTTTCCGGTTTACATTATTTGACATTTATATTTCATACAATCGAATTAAAATTCTTGTTTGCAAAATGATTGTGGTAGCGAACGGACGCTTAGCGTTTTAAGTTAATAGAATGTAAACAGTTATAAGGGATTAGAATTGTTTTCTTTGTAAGCGAGCTGTTTGCTTTTCCAACAAGGCAGTACTATTGTCTTACGTAATCCTTTTAAGGCCGCTTAAATTTTACTGTAATTAGTTGGTGTCTGATATTAATTTAGAAAAGAGCGTGATTATGAAACGACGCCTTTTTGTCAAGTTTCACAAAGAGCAAATTTCCAAACAGGGCTTCTGAGAAGTTGACGCTCTACTTCTATAATGAAGCTAGTTAGGAAATTTGTGAAACGTCCATTTTTAAAATGAGACGACAGTTTTGATTAATGCTCCTTTTGTTATAACCCGTATACATCTTCCTGTTATGAAGTATGTTTCAAAATTAAATCGAATGAAATAAATCCTTTACTTTGTTTAAGAAAGTATAAATTTATAGCTTAAACTTTGCAGTGGAACGTGGAAATCCCTCGAATGTTTCTTGCCATTCTTTTAAAGCTGACTTTTTAATGGAAAACGTGAAACGTTACTTTTGCGAAGGAATAATTATATTTGAAGATTACTAACTGAATGTCAAATGAGCTGAAATGGCGAACTTCTTTTATTCTGAGTAGGTACCTATGTCAAACAATTCCTTCTCCTTTAATAAAGAAGAGACGTTTTCTGATTTTATAATATTTATTTCGAGTTCATTATTAATTCTAGAAGATGCACAATAAAAAAT